TCACTGTCGAACCAGATAGCAGAACTAATGAAGACGATGAATGAGTCTTGATCCAGTATAGGGGATAAAGGTAAGATTTTATCTTCTGCTACTTCCGGTGGTATTTTACCAGACCCAGTTGGTGTCACTAAGATTACGGTTGAGGATGAACCTGTTAGTGTTTTTACAGATAAGATCTTAAAGAATGGGTGGTTAGCTCAACCTAGATTAGAACTACCAAAGTTTTATGGTGAAAACCCTAGAGATTGAATTAGAAAATGTGAAAAAATTTTCAGCTTGTGTAATATTTCTGGGGCGAAAAAGATAAATGCCATAAAACTCTATTTGGATAGGAAGGCTGATTTCTGGTATCAAAGTTTTAAAAGGATAAAAGGCCAAGTAAGCTGGGAGGTGTTTGAAGCTGAGTTGGTAAAAAGATTTGAAACGACAGGGGAAGAAGATGAAATAGAGGAGTTCAACAAGTTGTTGCAAACTAGATCTGTAGAAGAGTACCGTGAAAGCCTTGAAGAATTCAACTCTAGGGTTTTGTGTAAAAACCCTCGTTTGAGTGAAAGTTACTTCATTTCCATCTTTATCAGCGGATTGAAGGAAGAGTTGAAAACCGATGGTTCGCCTCCTAGAACCAACATCTCTTTTAAGAGCTTTTGAGATTGCTAAGGTACAAGAGAAAACCTTAGCCTTTGCACTGAAAAGTTTCTCACAGTCAAAGCCTAATTAGCTTCCTGTCAGGATGAATCCCCCAACCTAAACCTCCTTTCCAAGGCAACAAACGCCAAGGAAATGAAGCATTTAGAAGGTTGTCACCCCAGGAGATACAGTATAGAAGGAACCAGAATCTGTGTTGGAGATGTGCTGAGAAATGGCACCTAGACATCAATGCAAACTCAAGCAGGTAAATGTGTTGGTAGTTGAGGACGATGAAGATTTAAAGGAAGTGTACATGCTCAATGAAGAAGCTGATGATGCAGGAAACATTATGACTTTGCCTAGTGACCACATTCAGACTATTACCCAAATGGATTAGTGTTGGGCATTAGAAGAAGAAGATAGAAAGATCATTGTCATATTTGGATTCATTAAGAATATGACTATCAAGATCCTGATTGATACAGGAGCATGCAGGAGCTTCATTGATTCCAAAATGGTTCAAAGGATGAATATGTGCACCAAAAAGATCAAACATTTGTAGTCATTGTGGCTGATGAGTACAGAATTAGGAATGATGTGGCTTGTCCTGTTACTGAATGGTCTATACAACAATATGACTTTAGATATGATTTGAAGGTGATTGAGTTGGTGAATGGGACATCATACTAGGCACGGACTGGCTTTCTTGCTTCAGCCCTATCTTGTTTGACTATGACAGGTACACCATTCAGCCCAGCAGGAGAGGTGAAAGATTTCTGTTGCAAGGACATGCCTATGAAGCTTACAAAAGCATTGAAGACGGAATGGAAAGTGTAGAGTACCACAAAAGAAAAAGACAGTAGTGGGAATGGGAACAAACTCAGAAAAGGCAACAAAGGGGACTGCCATATATGTCACATGACAAGAACTATGAAGTAACTGGTGGACACTTGTATGTTGTCTCTACTTCTCTACTGCCAAGTGAAATAGAAATGTTGTTGGACCAGTTTGAGGTTGCCTTTGAAGAGCCAACTTCTCTACCTCCAGTTAGAATGGTAGACCATCAAAACATTCTAAAACCAGGAGCTCAACCCTTCAAGTTGAAACCTTATAGGTACCCATATGCTCACAAGACAGAAATTGAAAATCAAATGGAGCAAATGCTGGAAAAATGTACTGCCAGACCAAGCAATAGTCCATACACCTCACCAGTGTTGCCAGTTCAGAAGAAGGATGATAATTGGAGGCTATGCACTGATTACAGAAAGCTTAATGAACTAACAGTCAAAAGCAGGTACCCTATACCTGTTATTGAGGAACTACTGGGTGAACTCTTGGGATCAAAGTTTTATTCTAAGATCAATCTGAGAGCAGGGTATCATCATATCAGGATGAATGAAGAAGATATTCCCAAGACGGCCTTCCAAACACACCATGGACATTTTGAGTCTTGGTCATGCAGCTTGGATTAACCAATGCTCCAGCAACATTTCAAGCTCTTATGAACTAGGGCTTTAAACCTTATATCAGAAAATTTCTGTTAGTGTTTTTTGATGACATCCTGGTTTATAGTGGTACTGTGGAGGAACATGTGGGCCATCTAAAACAGTGTTGTGAACATTAAAGGATAATGAGCTATATGCAAAGAATCCAATTGTGCATTTGCTCAAAAATCATTAGCCTATCTAGGTCATATCATTTCTGAAAAAGGTGTTGAAGTTGATCCAGATAAAGTTCAAAGCATTGTAGAATGGAAAGAACCTAAAACAGTGAAGGAGCTAAGAGGTTTCTTAGGTTTGGCTGGCTATTATAGACGGTTTGTGAAAGGTTTTGGCATCATCAGCAAACCTCTCACCATGCTGTTAAGGAAAGATGCATTTGAATGGAATTCCAAGGCTACTGAAGCTTTTCAACAACTCAAACTAGCTCTTATCAGTGCTCCAGTACTTAAGCTACCAGATTTTGAACAACTATTTACTGTGGAGACTGATGCATGTGAGCAAGGCATGGGGGCAGTTCTCATGCAAAATGGGTAGCCAATTGCTTATCTGAGTAAGTCTTTCAGTCCACAGAATCAAGGGTTGTCAATTTATGAGAAAGAGTTGTTGGCCTTGGTAATGGCTATTACCAAATGGAAGCACTACCTTCAAGGAACACATTTTATCGTCAAGACAGACCACCAAGCACTTAAGTACCTCCTAGAGCAGAAATTAACCACCACAATGCAACATAAGTGGTTGACTAAGCTCCTGGGATTGGACTATGAGATACAATACAAGAAGGGGAAGGATAATGTAGCTGCTGATGCACTTTCCAGAAGGAATCAGGAAGAAGATAGAGGAGGATTGCTGAATGCTGTGACTACTCTTAAACCAATGTGGATGCAATAAATAAAGGACAGCCATATCTCTGATGATGAAGCCCAGGAATTCATCATTAAAGCCACAATGGAAAGGGATACAAATGAAAAGCTACAGTATGTTCAAGGAATCCTGAAAGTTGATGGTAAGGTTTATGTGGGAAAAATGGGTGATATAAGGCGAATGTTGTCGGAAAATTTCCATTCCACTCCTATTGGTGGTCATTCGGGTGAAAAAGCTGCCTATCAAAGGATTAATTCAGTGTTCACATGGAAAGAAATGAGAAAAGAGGTAGAAGAATATGTCAGGAACTGCATGGTGTGTCAAACTAGCAAAAGTGAGCATTTACCATATCCAGGGCTGTTACAACCTTTGGATTCCTTCCACAGCTTGGAAAAGCATATCCATGGACCTCATTGATAAACTGCTACCTTCACTAGATGGATATGATTCCATATTGGTGGTGGTTGATCGGTTCACCAAGTATTCACATTTCATCCCACTCAAGCATCCCTACACTGCTAAAATGGTGGATGATGTTTTCTTCAAAGAGGTGTTTAGACTTTATGGCATCCTAGATTCCATTATCAGTGGCAGAGATTGAATTTTTACAAGCCATTTCTGGAATGCTTTCTTCAAAGCAATTAGAGTCAAACTTTGCTATAGCACTGCATATCACCCTCAGACGGATGGCCAAACTGAGAGGGTGAATCAATGCATTGAAACCTATCTCAAATGCTTTTGTAGCAACAAACCAAGCAGTTGGGCAGGATGGATGACTATGGCAGAATGATGGTATAACACCTCATTTCATGATAGTGTAGGAATGACTCCCTTTGAAGTTTTGTATGCGAATAAGCCAAACTCTATTCCTCTGGAACCTTATGAATCAATCATCATTCCTGCTGCTTCTGATGATCTGGAATAGAAACAAAAGGTGATCAGATTACTCAAGGAGAATCTAGAGAAGGCTCAATCCAGAACCAAATTCTATGCAGATGCAAAAAGATCTGAGAGAGTATTGCAGATTGGGGATTGGGTGTACTTAAAGCTGCATCCCTACAAACAAAGCTCTTTAGCTCTGAAATCTTCCTAAAGTTGACAGCCAGATTTTATGGCCCCTTCAAGGTGATAGAGAAAATAGGGAATGTTGCATATAAAGTACAGCTGCCAGCACATTCTAAGGTACACCCCATGTTCCATGTATCCCTCCTTAAGAAGCATTCTGGATCTGTTCCAATCACTCTAGCTGAACTACCTGATTTGGAGGGAGAAGAATGTATGTTGGTACCAGAAAAAATCATGCAAAGGAGGTTCATCAAATGAGGAGAGCAAAATGTGGTACAATGGCTTATCAAATGGAATCATTTGGAGGATGAAGACTCCTCTTGGGAGGACAGTGTGTTCATCAAGAAACAGTTTCCTCAATTTCAGACTTAAGGACAAGTCTGTCTTCAGACCAGGGAAGTTGTCATGCAGAACGGGTGACCCGGCTGAACACGGGTAATCGAATTAGGATTTAAATTATTAGGGCAACATGAGACGATGCCGTTTTGACAGCGACTGCATGTGATGAACCTGTACGTTGGCTGGCCATGCAAGGCGACAAGAATCACAGCTGCTTCTAGGAAACTTTCTACTTTTGTTACCGTTACTGTAATTATATTTAGTTAACTTTTATTCCAAGTAAATCGGATGCTTCTAGATGATTAGGGTTTACGTATTTAAGTCTGAACTTTGCCGGAAATAGAATCATCATATTATTATCCTTATCTAATCCTTCTCATCCTTGATTCTTGCTTTTCTTAATCCTCTGATTCTTGCTTTCCTTTAACCTCTGGATTCTCCTTTGCTTCCCTGTCTTTCCTTTTACCCTCTGGACTCTGAATCATTTCTGTCTCTTTAATATCAACTTTTACTTTTTGCCAAATTGGTGAAAGAATCTAATTTCAAAATAGTCATAACGTGACACAACACCATCTACAGAGAAACAAAGAGAAACACGGCCTATGTGACTTGCCGGAGGAGAGACAGGTTGAGCAATTCAGTGCATCAACTTGAGCAAAGAACTCAAGCGAGCTTTAATTTGGACTTCGACGAATTAATCATATTCATGTCGTATAGAAGTAGCCGGAACTGATCATCCATATGCTTAATTACCTTGATTTCCTTCACGCTTCACTAAGCAACCTGACTCCTGAGATATTGAAAAAAGAAGATCCGGTGGCGGAGAGTGGAGAGGATGGTGGTTGAAGGAGGCGAAGAAAGGGAGGAAGGTTGAGACTTTTATATAATAGTGATTGGATTGGATTGGACGGCAGAAATTTGAAGAAAGTGTGCTGGCTCTTAAACGGGAATAATGACAATGGAAACGTTCACTATTAGGTACATTTTAAAACTGTATAACATGTGGAGTGAAAGAAATAAAAAATAATATTTTCAATAATTTCATTCGCTTCAATCAAGACAATAGTTCATCTTGTTGAATCAAAATAATAAAATAAACTAAGTTTTTTGAACTAAATTTATGGAATAGCAGGAATATAATTTATGTTATACCCAATCTAATAGTTTTACAGTGGATACGGTTTTTAGCCTTTTAGGGTCAAATTAGTGTAGCACACGAACAAATACCTACTAAATGTTAACTCTCTCGGGTGACGTCGCAACTACGTCTAGTTTTTGTATGAGCTCTCTCATTCCAGAATTCTGCATCACCCAGCGGCTAATTAAATCAGTTGTCTTCGGCAGCCATGTTTCATATTAGAAAACAGTCCCCAGTTTACGAGCTTTCATCATCACTGTCTTCCAAGTATACATGGTTCATATTTCGTTCCAATGGTGGAAGTCCATCTTCAGATCCTTCATCAGAAGAATGCTCATCTTCCCCGTGAGTTTTAATCTCTTCTCCTGAGATGAAAACAATTCAGAAAACATTGATGTGAGTCTTGGGAAGGAAAAACATGAGAAGATACAGCCCCAACCAAATTTGCTTCTGAGTTCTGATGACAAAAGAGACCTAAAACTACCTCATCCCCCATCAGTAGAAGAACAGACTATGACAAAAATGTAACGGATTAGCGCCATAATGTCATTTCACGAAGAGGGGAAGGATTAGATATTAACTTGAAACCCTGTACCTCTTAACCAATATATCAGTCACCAATACCCTCAGGCAAATTAATAGATACATTTATGTTGATATTTGGCTCATTCTTTCAACGGGGTTTCTCCTAAAAAAGCTTTCAGCCATGGCAAATGTGTTTTGCTCACTTATATAGATTGCATGTGGAGATGAAAGATTATATTACGTTGATAACATTATTAACCAGAGAGCTGACAGAGGTACAAGCTAGTAACGAGCTCAGATTATACCACAATTTTTATCACGGAGAAAAAAGGTTTTTTATAAGCTATCTGAGGGTACCTTTATCACTGGTGGGAGTGTTGCAAACTGGTGTTCTTTGCCTGGAAAGCCAATCATTCTGGACAGAAATAATCTCAACACTGTTCTTGCATTCTGAATATGACTTCAAAAGCTCCCTGCAGATGATCAAACCGATATTCATATCAACATTAGCAAAACCAAGAGAACTAAAAGGGAAAGGAAAAAACAGTTGATGTAGATGAATTTCTTGATAGATCCTCATGGTTATGCTACAAAATACAAACCCATATGAACAAAACGTTATCTTCCCCTCCATGCTTTCAATGCATGAATGCAAACAATCATTATTTGAACATCAGGAATAAAGTATTCAGGTTTGATTTCAAATTCGCAGCAATTCCCTGCTTGGTTATTCTGATATTCAAATTTAATTCATGTGAAATCCTCCACAAAAATTGAAGGCGTTAATTTAAGGAATCTGAATGCAAATATAGTAGCAGTTCTACAACCACATTCTAGTTTCTTCAGTCCAGGTTTTGCAAAAACAAAAAAAAAAAAAAAAAAGAAGTTTGACTTTAAATTCACAACATCCACATATCAGAACCCTTCTATCGAACCACAATTAACACTTCTTATCTTTGGAAAATTCCAATATGTTCTGGTCTTGGTTCATAATATCGTTATTAAAATTGAAGGATTTTCTGCATTTCATTCATTCCACAACAACTCAACGCCATCTTTAACTCATGACTCAATGCAGAAGTAATTACGTATCAGACAGATCCTTAACAACTAAGCAGAAAAATGAAGCAAATAAAAATGGAAGACTCATAAACACATAAGAAATATATCATTGAAAGAAGCCAAAATTGTACCTGTTGAGGGACAAAAAAGCATGACCCCATTTGAACTTGCCCAACAACAGATCTGCAGTATCTGCCTCACCACTATTAAGACACAAAAGAGAAAGAATCATCAATAAATCACAATAAATAAATCATATTATCTTCAGTACAAACTAATATAAGATAACCAAGACTGGAGAAAAGTGCTCAAGGGTCCCACAGATCATGGCTCCCACAAAGAACTTCAGATGATTTGATAACTATAAGAACTATGAGAGAAAAACTGAAAACTTGATTAAGGAAGAGAAGAGTAATAATAACTCAAAGGAAACAGTCTACAATAATATATGCCATATACCAGATTATTAAAGCTGCAGCAAGTGCCTCAACACAAGATAATTCACATGGACGGCCATAGTTAACAGGATTTGCAGCCACCAACCATGGCACTGCAATATGAATTTTTCTTGAATTAGTTGAAAAGAATAAAACAGCGATTAAGAAACAAGAGCATTAACCAGTCCTAAGTTATAACAGAATCCAGAAAGCAAATATAATGGAATTAGAAGTAACTTACAATGCATTCCATGATGTATCATAAAAATCATGTTGATGAATGTGAATACAGGAAAGACAAGTCAATTCAGTAACTTAAATGAACTTCTTACAAAGGCGAGGAGCAGCACACCGCAACTTTGCAAAAGGTACGTCTTCGAGGCGGTGCCATGAGCAATCTACAACAGCTAAACCTTTCCTATTAATCAAATCTTGGTCTTCCCTGGAGACACACTGCTGACCAGTAGGACTGCATAAAGAATTACAAAAGATGAGTAATGCGGCTCCATAGGCATAAAAGACATGATCACGAGTTTAAAAAAGAAAAGAAAACAGTTTTTTCTACATTTCTGTCAGCAAAACAGCACATTTTGGATAACTGCTCAATGTGAAGAGAATATGTTCAAACTATCAGTAAGCAAGCTGTGCTCTGAGATGAAGTGCACGAACATCAGAAAAGGGTTAAAAAACATTTAGAATTTTGAGATAGGTGCATGTATCTGTTGAGGATACGAGTACACAATAATTAAAGTACCTCAAAACAATGCCACCAAAACCACCGCCTACGCGCAACTCCTGCAAGATATTATAGCTCAGAAACACATAAAGATGCACAATTTGCCACCATTGTGCACAATTGAATTAAGATCTTATGATTCAAGCATGTGAGGCCATTTATGAAGAAAGAACCTATCATTTCGACAGCCATCGAGATGTTGCCGAATAGTCGTTAAGAAAATAAAAAGGCACTTACTTTTATCAGACCAAATCTTGCAAGTTTGCGCCCTGTGCACCTTTTTGCATCACACTGGCCAAAGTCCTAAGAAAACATGTAAGTAAAATTACATTAAAAATGTGTATACTCAAGTGAAACACTGATAAGTTCAAAGTTGAATTTTTCTTCTTCTTTCAAACAGTGCTCCAAGTCTAATAAAACTTCCTATTTTCCACCAATCATGAAGTTAGTACATACATCCCGATTCGCAAAACAATAATAACAGACAAATTCAAGAAACACAGATAAGTTCTAAATTAACTAGCCATGATCCACTAGTAAGAACAAGAAATATTTTTGAAAAAGAAAATGATAATAAAAGAAAGCAAAGGATAGTAGCGCATACCCACATGGCAAGCTGAATTCTAGAACTCGCAGACTCGACCTCTTCAGTTGCATCTATTTTGACATAAATAACCAAAAGCAGAAAGTGGTCACAAATAGCAACATAAAATTGACATTTCTTAGGAGCAAAAAATCAAACACCTTAGACACATAAAAAAAAAAATACTACAACTCTATAATCAACTCTCGCAGAATCAATTTCAAATGATAATATCATACCTCGGTCAACTGGCAGTGACTGATCATCTCTGAATAAGGGAAAAGAAAAACAAACAGTAATTATGAAGTGATCATGACAGAACAAAATTTGTTAATCGAAAAGGAAAAGCTTGTTTAGTTTACCACCTTGGATTAAGCGGTTGGTGGGTACGACTGAATTGGCTGCCGCCGGCAGCACCACCGCCGCCGCGGGATGAGCAATGATTGGACTTGAATCTTCTCTGCTTGTTGTTGCCCATTTCGCCGGAGTTCAAACGGTGAAAGGGAATACTCAGGTTATGAATTTCCTTGGAGACGGTTAAATTGAGCGGGCAAGTTAGTATACTATTAGTTACTCGTTTTATATCGTATTTGCCTAAATGGTCCAATTCTTTTAGAAATTTGTCTTTCTTGAAGAGAGTTTCTAAGAAAGATTTTTGAAGAAAAATTTCATATAATGTGAGAAATATTTTTCAATCAGATTTTTAGATTGAATATAAAATAAATCGAATGCATGTTTAATGCACTGCTGCTAGTTTTTTCGAGGGGGTATTTCTAAAACAAATGCATGCTAATTTCTTTTCCAAAAAAAAAAAAAGAATTTGTAAAAGAACTTCAAAATTCAGGCATATCTCTCATCTTTGTATGATCATTTTTGTAAATTTCTACTCATTACCGATCACAAAGGTACAAAACTTTTTTACTTTTGATCAACTCTATTAATTATCTTAAAAAATATTCAAATGTACCTCTATGTAGTTTGTTTCTGACTAAAACCAGCCACTTACTTCTATTTTAGTCATAAAGCTATTTTATTCATTTTCATTTTAATCAAAGTAATTTTGACTTTTATGAAACTAAATTATTTTAGAACAAAACATTTTATAAAAATCAGGCAATTTTTTAGGGACACGAGAAGTAGAGGAAAATGTATCTATCTTCCCCCAAACATAAAAATACTCCTTAGAACTTCAAAATAAACTGAAAAATTACGCGTCTCATTTTAAAGACCATAGTTTCTTTGGGAATGATCGGCAAAGTTATAGGGAGTAATCCTTAATTGTAAAAGATCTTCTACACCACCATTTCCTATAGCACGAAATTTTAACATGTTACTTCTAAAGATTCGTTAAATGGTGGGGTGAGTATCAATTAAATTTTTTTTAAAAAAAAAAATGAATAATACTCTCTCTATATGTCAAAAAATAGTTTACATTGAGTTTTGAAATTAGTACTACTACTTTTAGTACAAATTTCAAAACTCAATGTTAGTATTAATTTAAACACTCGATTTAGATTTTTTTTTTTTTTGAACAGAGAAAATAGTAACAAATAACAGGTGCCAAGTTGTTTTCTAGGTTAAATTACAAAATGTTGTGTAAGCGATCTTAATCGGTGAAAAATTGATTCACTAGTGTCACTGAGAGTATTATGCCAAAGTACGGCATGAAATCTTTTGCCTTTTTTAAAGACACGCAATACTCCATACCACTTTTCTGTGACATTTTTTTTTTTACTATCCAATAATTTCGTATAAATTTATTTGTTAGCATTAATGTTTACACCATTCCCGATCACTTTCGAAGTTATATATTTTAGAAGTAAGAATTCACATTTTCCGGATTAGGGTCTATTTATTTTAATTTGCATAGTTAAAAATTCAATAAAAATAGTCAAATTCTTTTAAAAAATTGATACAAAAAATAAAATAACAATATGAAAATTATCTATATTTGTAAATATATGTTTATGGTATATGTATTAACTTAAATTATACAATTTATAAAGAATAATTAGATTGTGTAACAGAGTATTACAGGAAAATGAAACAGAGGATCCGTACCCTTGTTAAATGTTTAAATTCTACTTCCTATGTCCCAAAATTATTGTTCAATTTGATATTTTATTTTTAGCACAATTTGAACTAGAAATGAAAACTCAAACTGGACAATAATTATGGAACGGAGGGAGCACTACATTTTAAGGTATTGAGATTGGGATAATGAAAATTATGAAACTACTCCAGACACAATGCTTTATAACTTTATCTTCTACTATATGAATTTTAAAGTTCTACACTCTCACATATTTAGAGCTTGAACTTAAAAATTCAAAGGTAAATGTGAACGTTAATTATTGTATTGGATGAAAACATATCCGGATTTGAACTTCAATACATTTTCAACAGATATAAAGTTTGTAACACTTGTCAGATTTTGACACGTTTAATTATCTTCATTCACCCCTATTTGTTAAGGCCCTGTTATTAAATTCTAAAAGATTAAATAATTATCCGAGTTGACATGTGTGCCATCTTTTGAAATCATGTTACAAAGATCTGCGTGTTTGCTTCGTGAGTTTTGGAAGAGGAAATGAAACTTTTTGATGGAAATATTGGTCCGTGAAAGCTGAAGTCGTCAATCCAAACATTGGTTTGTGAAAGTTAAAGTCATTGTTACATGTTAAAAAGTGGGAAAAAAAAACATTATATTAGAGACATTTTTTCGAGTTCTTATAGGTTGGAAGGCTGTAACCTCGGGGTGACTATATTCTAGAAGGTTGCATCATCAATTAACATGAAGTAATCATTTTTATCAGTGTTTTTATCATTTTTTCTTTCACGACATTTTTATCAGTTTTACCAGTTTCATTTGGCATACTTAGCCATAAAAGAAATTAGTTTAGTGCAATGAAACCGATAATATATTACTGTTACAGTTCGTTCTGTCATAAAATAATTATTTTTTTAAAAAAATTTCACTTTTATTTTAATTTTATAAAAAATAAAATAAAATTCAAATCCGAAACAATTACTTGAAGGGAACGTAAATTTTCAATGCTCCTATAATTGTTTGAAGGACATAATATATGTAATTGGTAGTCTACTCTCCATAAACCACAGACGACAATAAATAGAAAAATGACCCAACTTGTGAAAATGAATTACTTGGAGGCAACGCAAAAGAATATATATTCCGCTCCTAAACATTTTCCCCACAAAAATACAAAAAGTGAAGAAGCACAGCTACGTCTTTACCAATAATAATAGTCCACGAAAGAAACAGTCATCTTTGTCCTTTTGAAACCTTCCACGAACATGCTGAGCGGGACAACACAACACAACACAGTCCCAGTCGTCTAAGATTGCATTATCCTCTTAATTACACTTAAAAATGAAAAAGCTAAAGGAAGCAATGCAAAGTTAATTTTACAACGTACAAAAATTCCACATATTGACACGCCCATTCGCCAGTGATTACAAAAGAATCTCACTAGTGTTTTTTTTTTTTTTTGTATTGGTTGTTGATTTAGTGGAGTATTACATTTTCACTTCGTGTTAAAAGCCGCCAGGAAAAAGTTAAATACCGCCGTAAAAAAAATAATTCTGTCTTTTGCATTTTTTCATTTTAAAATAAGTGATTTAGTCTAGAAAGATTGAAGATTGGAGATTAATGTTTGAGGTTGAAGATTAGAGTGTCGGGTTAAAGTTTGGAGTTTTAAAATTCAAATTTGAAATTTAGAATATAAAGGTAAAATTGAAAGTCAACTCTTAGTCAATGACGGTTTTTATCTTTTTTCTGGCGGACTTTAGACTTCCGAATTACGTTATATTAGATTTAATGAAACATTTAAACATCCAAAAAATATATTGAGTTTTTTGGATGTACTATTTGTAAGTTCACGAGTCATCAGTCATGACGTGTAAAAATGACTTTCACCTGGTGGAGAAACTTTAGGGATGAATCTATGTACCGCTTAAAGATAGTTTCATATCAAAATGTACCCAAAAAAAAAAAAAAAAAAAAAAAAACAGTGTGAATGGTGTTTCTTCTTCGAAATTGCCCGTTGACTACAAGTCCACACAAGTCACAAAGGGCTGCTTGAATAACGTATCCTCATATTTTTCTTTTAGAGTATTAATTTTCCGCGTTACTGAAATCCAAGTACTTTTTTTAGATGATCTGCCAGATATTGTTAAATCATGGTTGATGCATGATTTAGTAGGTGTTTCATAGATTAATCATGTAGTGATTTCAGACATTACGTACTCCTTCTGTCCCAAAATTATTTTCCAGTTTGAGGTTTCACTTTTAGTACATTTTGAACTAAAAATAAAACCTAAACTGGACAATAATTATGGGACGGAGGGAGTATATTAATATATCCAGAAAGAAAAAAAAAACATTCATCCTTCTATCACTCATTATTTATAAATGGATGGATACCATACCTTTCACTAACATCATTTCAACTCCTTCAACTTGAAAACTGAAACCCAAAATCCCAATTGAAAAACCTGAAACAGTTTTTTTGAAGATATGGGAGAAACATTTGGTGAACAATTCTCTAGAATAGCGGGATTAATGTTCGTCTGGAGCACAATCCAACAGCTAGTTCCATACAGAGTACAAATCTATCTAGAAAAACTGTGGGCTAAATTGTTCACTTTCTTCTACCCATATGTCCACATTACCTTCCATGAATACACCAAAGGCATGAGAAACGAGGCCTACTCTTGCATCGGGACTTACCTCGGTGCAAAATCCAGCAACAAGGCGAAACATCTGACCGGCGATAAGTCCGGTAACAGCAAGTCTTTGACTATTAGCTTGGCTAAAAGGGAAGAAACCATCGATGAGTTCAATGGCGTTCAGTTTCAATGGAAGGCTTTTACAGAGGAGATACAGGACAGTTCTTCGTCCCGGCGGGGAGGGTTGAGTATCCCACATGAGAAGAACTCATATATTCTTGTGTTCCATGAGAAATACAGAGAAATGGTTGCAGAAAGGTATTTGGATTATGTAATTGAAGAAGGGAAAGCAATTGAGCTGAGTAATAGGAAGAGGAAACTGTATACGAATAAAAACGGCAATGATTGGTACTGGAATGGAGGTAAATGGAAACATATCATCTTTCAGCATCCTGCAACATTTGATACTCTGGCTATGGATCCTAAGAAGAAGCAAGAAATCATTAATGATCTTGATGCTTTTAAGAAAGGGAAAGAGTATTACGCAAAGATCGGTAAGGCCTGGAAGAGGGGTTATCTTCTTTATGGTCCTCCAGGAACAGGGAAATCAACAATGATTGCGGCCATAGCCAATTATATGGAGTATGATATCTATGATATGGAGCTCACATCAGTGAAAACTAACTCTGAGCTTAAGCAGCTTCTGATTGACACCAGGAGTAAATCCGTTATTGTTATTGAAGACATTGATTGCTCTCTTGATCTGACGAAGAAAAGGAAAAAGAAGGAAGACGACGGCGCAAAAACAGAGGAAAAGAAGAAGGATGATGAAGAAGAGGAGGAGAAGGATAGCAACAGTAAGAGTAAGGTTACATTATCTGGGCTGCTGAATTTCATTGATGGAATTTGGTCAGCTTGTGGGCAAGAGAGGATCATCATCTTCACTACAAACCATGTCGATAAACTCGATCCGGCTCTGATTCGCAGAGGAAGAATGGACATGCATATTGAGATGTCTTACTGCAAATTTGAGGCATTCAAGATATTGGCTAAGAACTATTTGGACATTGATTCACACCCTTTGTTTGGAGAAATCAGGCAATTATTAGAGGAGAATGATGTTAGTCCTTGTGATGTGGCTGAGAATTTGATGCCAAAGACTGATTCAGGGGATGCTCAACACTGTTTGATGAAGTTGGTTGAAGCTATCAAAACTGCCAAGTTAGAGAAAGAAAAGTCAGGAGACAAGAAAGAATCTAAGCCCAGAAAAATGAAGTTCAATCTTTTGAGTAAATTCAACTTCTTCAAGCAATCTGCAAAAGGAAAGAGTTAGATATGAAGTAGGTAGGTTGTCTTAGTAGATCTGATAATTGTGTTTTATCTCATGTACATATAATCTGGATTTAGGATGCTAATCTCTGAATCAATAACCAAATTAGTACTTTGACTCTATGTTGTTTAATGTGGTCACTAATTAAATTCAACATCTTTTTAAGGCCTGGAGCATTACTTGGACAATGGTCAAACAATAAGATAAAGACAGTAAGTTTGAGATTAGTAAAAAGAAAAGGACAAAGACTTTGTAATTTTGTCTATAAATGTCACTCCCATGAAAGACTTTGTAATTAGAATCAAGAAACTTGAACTGTACAATTGCAGCATCATCAAGCAATTATAAACCGAGGAACCGACCATTTAATAGTCCACTATAAAGTCTTTTGTTTACATTGAATTTGGAATCCAGAAATAACCCCTCATGGCACACTAATGTTTATGCCCACTTTAGAACTCTACCCACTACATCTATTTGCTTGATTCCTCTCATCTTTTGTATGGGTGGTGTTCTAATGTTAAGAAACATATTCTTTTGAAATGAAAAGAATACAAAAGAAAGCAAATGTGCACAAAGCTTGTAAAAGTTGGAATAAAAAATTTTGTCGATGCAAGTCTCATCAGTCAGTAGTGCTTTTGAATTACTTGGTGCCAACGTAAAGACCCCAAAACACCCTAGAACAATAATTTAATCCAACTGAAATAGACAGATTAACTATATTAATTGAGCGTGTTCTTAATTAATGCTATTATATACACATACGGAAAATTGATGACCTACTAAAAGGCAAAATGCTACACATCAAAAAAGATGAAGAAAGGCAAAACAAAAGCATAAGAAGCATCTATCAACGAAAGGATGTTCTTATTTAATGAGTTGTGAATTAATTTCATCATCATCAAGACATCAACAGAAGCTTCTTTAGAACCCTCTTCTTGATTTCCAATGGGAAACCATTTTTTTGCCAAAGTAATCATATTTGCAGTTAGCAGAAGAGTGTGCAACTTTTGTAATGTATAAAATACACCATTTTCACACTGGAGTTTTCCCATAAGTGTTGTTGCATACATTGTTCACTTATAAGTACTCAATATTCGTACACTTTTTCCACCCAACAACATCCAATCCTAAATCAAACCAAAACGAAAAGGAAAATAACATCTGTCCTCAAGTCTCCATAGTTTCTTCCCAAAAAAAAGAAAAGAAAAAAAGAAGCTGTAATCAAGCTCATTTCGACATGGGAATCTTTTCTAGCGAAGGCTTCTCCTTTTCTGAACTTGCTGGAATGATGTTCATGTGGAGCACCATCCAGCAGCTAATCCCACAACTAACCTTCATTTGGAGAACAATTCAGCAGCTAGTCCCGCAAAGCGTGAGTCTCTTTCTGGAGAAATTAGGTGCAAAATTGCACGGTTTAAGCAATCCATATGTGCACATTAAATTCCCTGCTTACTTGGGCGCCGGCGAGTATAACGACGCCTACTATCTCATCGGATTCTACCTCAGCACCAAGTCCAGCAAACAAGCAGCTCGTTTGAAGGGAGCTAAGTTCGAAGAAACGAAATCTATGACTATCACCTTGGATGATGGAGAGGAAACCATTGACGAGTTCAATGGTGTTCTGCTTAAATGGAAGGCTAAAAATCTAAAGGCACAAGCTAGTACTAATTCGTCGTCATCCACGGATGAAACGAGCACTTCATGCAGGACACAGTCCTATGTTCTTGTCTTCCACAAGAGATACAGAGAAATGGTTACAGAGATTTACCTGAATCATGTGATTCGCGAAGGCAAGGCGATCTGGAACAGGAATCGGAAGAGGAAGCTCTTCACTAACAAAGCAGGGTGGGAGAGCATTAACTTTAAGCATCCTGCAAATTTTAATACTCTGGCTATGGACCCTAAGAAGAAGCAAGAAATCATCGCTGATCTCGATGCTTTTAAGAAGAGAAAAGAGTATTATGGGAGGATTGGCAAGACCTGGAAGCGTGGTTATCTGCTTTACGGTCCACCTGGAACAGGGAAATCAACCATGATTGCAGCCATAGCCAATTATATGGACTATGATATCTATGATCTGGAACTCACATCAGTCACTGACAATGCGGAGCTCAAGGAGCTTCTGACGGACACGAGGAGCAAATCTATCATTGTGATTGAAGATATTGATTGCTCACTTGATTTCACAGGGAAAAGGAAGGAGAAGGATCACACAAAGAGTGAAGAAGATCAAGACATGAAATCTGGAAACGAAAAGGATAGCAATAGCAAGAGTAAGGTAACACTATCTGGGCTACTGAATGTTATTGATGGAATATGGTCAGCTTGTGGTCAACAGAGGATCATCATCTTCACCACTAATCATGTGGAAAAACTTGATCCGGCATTGATTCGCCGAGGGCGAATGGACATGCATATTGAAATGTCTTACTGCAAATTTGAAGCATTCAAAACATTGGCTAAGAATTACTTGGATATCGATTCGCACCCTTTATTTGAAGAAATCAGGCTGTTGTTAGAGGAAAATGAGGTCCGCCCCTGTGATGTGGCAGAGAACTTGATGCCAAAGGCTGATTCTAGAGATGCTGAAACCTGCCTGAGGAACCTCATTGAAGCTATCAATGCTGAAAAAGAAAGGCAACAGTCGAAGGCAAAAGATGAACAAGAACAAGAAGAAATCAAAGGGTCCAAATCTGCGAAAAGAATAGTCCCGCAAAAAGAAACACACCAAGGTTCCCGGAAAGTTTGTACTCGGAAAATCAAGAAATGGTTGACCATCTTCAAGAAACTATAAAAAGAAGTTAGATGAATTAAGTTGTAGTAGTTAGTTTTGGTCCCTTTTGTTATACAAGCAACTACCATTTTAAAGAGTGGGCGTTCCGCTTATCTTTCAATGACTTCAGACATGAAATTGGAAGATTGAAGTAGAATGATCTTGTCTACCAGACCACCGCTTGACCACATACATGCTGAGAACCATTTGTTAACCAGAATACCCATTTTACTAGCCACATTACCAAGTCTAAAAGCCACCAAAGAATAACCACGAGCACAATTATCCGAGAGAAAGGAAGACTCCTACCACTATTTACTTGCAACAAGCTGAAAAAAAAAACCTGAATTGAGTAACTGAAACGATACCTTCCACCCAATCATGCTCTAGATCATTTCTGGGAGAGACTATTTTACTGAGATCCAAACACAGGAGTTTCTGATATATGAAATGTTCATTGCATCAACAAGAGTTATACAACAATATAAATCACACACTTTCTGATGTTCACGTTGTAGAAGTTTTTTTAAAATCAGTCATTCACATTGAAAAGCATGATTATTAGTAGAGGAGCTAGCTAAAATTGCGTAAGAACCATATTCAGTACATGCAGAAAAATTACACAGGGTCAAAAGAAGGGGAAAAACGAGGGGACCAATCAATCATCATTAAAAAGATAGAGAGACGAAGGAAACAAGTCTCGTGACACAGCATATATTGGCCTTTTAAACCTAACAAGAGCTACAAACTTTACAAGGCAACTTTATGGGGAAAGTTAGGGGGAAAATTAAATCAAAGACTTCCACACATTAGGGCCAGACATAAAGGCCTAAAGCCTTGGCTGATCAGTATCATTTAAAATGTACTTACAGAAAGGAGATAAAAAGAACAGCTACATCGATGTTGGGCATTGCATTTGAATCAGATACTACAAGATATAGCTCACATTAAGCTGTCCCATTAATAGAATATCTATCTTAAAACCAATAACCAGAAAAATATCAGTTGGAAATAGGCGGTTGCTCAGGGGCACAACCGGGGGAGGAGAACCAAGGAGATTTATTTCACCTTTGGAAGCCACTTGAGGAATGCTGACTAAAAGTGAGGCATATAGTTACCTTGGGCGAGTTGGGGTACTCATGTCTCTGTTACAGAAAGAGCATCATTGGATATGTAACATCTTGGTATACATTCAATACTGTATAGATAAAAATATCACACAATCTGATAAGGCAGAAATTCAGCAGTCTTAATTTCTGGTCAATCTGGTGTCCAGTTTCCAGTCAACTGGAGTAGAATATAGCTGTGAACCTGAAACTGTTTCTGACTCTCTGGTACACTGTTCCATAGCTTCACTACTTGACAAGAATGCTAGAACCAATATTTAAATCAAAGCAGAACTTAAATTATCAAAAGCTTAACTGTAAAATGTAACAGATTTTAGGAACTGAAAATTATCATCGGGTCAACTTGTCTAAATAATTCAAAAGTAACTAATCATTCAGAGAACAGCTAAGTACTTACCAAACTTGTTAGCCAAAAAAAAAAAAAAAAGAAAGATAGAAGCAAAACTACTGAAAAATTTTTTCCTTTACACCCAACAAAAGACCAAGTCATGTGAGCTTGACAGAAACTAATACTCCCTTCGTCCCACAAAAATAGTTCAGTTTAATAAAAAAGTTTGTCCCAAAAAAATAGTCCACTTTCACAAAAGTCAAAATTAATTGAATTGAAATGATTTAGATATCCAAAAGAGTAGTGATAAGGAAAACAAGGTCCACTTCCTTTGATTTTCATTTTTTTTTAGTTTTCATCCATTTTTTCAAATGATTATATCTTTTAATACATGAATAATTAAAAAATGTGTTATATATGAAATTAATCTACGTAACGAGATCTTTCCATCAAGATCTATTGTCAATATTTTTTGAGATAAAAATTTTGATCAAATTTAAGTTGTAAAATAAATGCATATGTAGTTAATTTTTATAGAAATAACTAGAAGGGGCATTAGTGGAAGTTAGGGGCATAAAATGAGTTGTACATTTGGTGTGTTGACCAAATTAAAAAAGTTGTACATTTTCAAATTAGACTATTTTTCTGGCACGGATGGAGTATATCATAAATCTTAAGAAAATAATTTATTTACGTGTGGACCTTACAGCCAAACTGAAATATTGTTAGGCACTAACACATGTCGTCAGGTTTTAAGGACATTCGAAAAGGACCAGGAGATCTAAAGAGGAAAGAATCAATGCTTTGATGCGTGAGATAGTTAAAATTCACTTTGGTTTCCGGAAAATGAATGGAAGTTTACACCTGTATTTCATTACAAATGGCTCAGAACTGTAAGCCTTCGCCCATGCCAATTTTCTGATAACACAAATTTGCCCAACAGGGCCAAATGGATGAGCAGGTCAAGTAAATCAGGATCCCTGATGCGCACTGATCAGCTCTTCAAACTGATCTTACCATGAGAATGTAGAGCAGTTCATGTACAAAAAGATGTCTTAAGGCATTTGCTTTCCTCTTAGTAGGGCATGACCAAAACTCAAAGAAAAGAGAAGCATAAAGCTTCAAAAGCCTGTGACTGGTAACGAAATGGAATTTGATTGCTCCATATACTAAAGGAATATTGGATATCTTGCCTTTATACCATCTCAAAAGCATGTACTGCAAATCCCAGAAATAAGATTTGACAGCAGATTATAACAACCATAACTTCCCTATTGATTAGGCTCCTTGCACTAAAGCCGTCAGGGAAAACAATTCATGCAACTAAACAAGTCCATCACCACAAGACAGTTTCTTTGCCACAATTTTCATTAATGTAAAGATCCTCTGATAATTAACATCCCAGTTTAGCTCCTTTCTTGCTTGCTTTTATTTTTTATAACTAAACAATGTTTGAAACTATTCCCAAAATCAATAAGTAACTTTACTATTTGGAAGATCACAAAGTTAAATATGCATTTGTAGAAAAGTTATTAACTATACCTGTTGTTTTTGTCGTTATAAGATCACGTCTCCTCATGTTTGTACCAGTTCCATAACACATCATAAAATGAATTAATAACCATCAGAGACACCAAGGTCAATCAACTATGTCAAACAATTCCAGTAGACGTGCTTAAACACATACCTTTGTTGGCATGAGCTGAACGGTAAGCATGAGCGTAATCGATTAGCACTGCTGGAATGTAAACGCCAAAAAAGGTAAGAAAGCTACAATATGCCATGTCGGAACCGTAGACTAAATAGAGTCACTCGAGTCCAGGTATTCTCATTTGAGCACCCCATGAGTCTGCCACAGAAAGACCACCTTCAATAGGTAACAACTAGCTTCAGATATGGGGCAAAAGTGGATATCTTTTTCAAAGAATAACAATCATGCACAGGTAGAAACTTTAGGGATGGACATTAATAATTAGACTAGTTGGACTGGCAAGATAGGGGAGATTGAGGTGTTGAAGCAGCAAACAAAACAATACATAGCGTCATATCTTCCTTGACAGTAAAACTGGAGAGTGCGAGGGATGTTATTGAGGATAAGCACTTATACACTTGGGATTCCACACCCTTGAAATTGGAAAAACTCCTTCCAAGTCAGGAAAACAAGGATGATATTACTTACAGGGTTACAACTTCCATCCCACAGCTCTGATATCCTTTTGCATGCAAATTGAATCCAGTCAGAAATACAATTTGATGAAGAAGAAGAACCCCATGGAAGTTTAGTGCAGCCAACAATAAACTTAATAACCAATGGTGGCCGGTGGAGTTTAAGGATTTGATTCACCACATACACAAACTCATGAATATTGTTCTCATATTTACCTCTTAAAGCTTTTGAAGTGCAATCAAAATGGAAAATCGAGACTGCCTGAGCTAACCCTCCACAAGCATCTCCACCTCTAAGAGAGCACACTGGTCCATATTGCTTCCTTAAAGGTCAGACAGAACAAAAAAAATAGCTAAAATTTCACCGACTAAACTCTCTGACTGCATTCCCAACTACTAATGACCTTTTGATTCTTAGGAGCCATATTGAACCCCAAGGGAAAAAGCGGAAGAAAAAAAATAGTACAAAACATATCAGACACAATACCTAGCTGCAGCAGAGCATTAGTTTGATATTCAATCTCAACTCCACATTTTAATCTTTCGCAACTGAGTTCAGACAAATCAACTTCCCACAGCTTAGAGTAATTTCCAATTGTGAAAGAGTAAACACAAACTACCAGAGCAATCCATTGAATGCTCACATCCTCTGGCTTCACTATCGTAAACATAGCTTACAAAACACATTCACAGCAAGGAAAAACAAAGCAAAAAAAGCAAAGTAGATGAGGGGATCGAAGGGTAAATTTAGTTTGTGAAATCAAGATTAAAGCTTTACAATCGGAACATCACCAAAAGAAAAGAGAGCTAATTTCAATTGATCCTGTAATAATTTCAAACCTTTCGTCTATGGAAAAGCTTGGGGTGGTTCTGCCGCGAGAGAGGAGAATAAGCCTTCATTTGTTTCCCGTTGATCCTCCGTCACCGGAACGGGCGGTCAGAACTCAGCATAATTCTGACGCGCGTGGAAAATAACGAATTTATAGGTTTCGATTTGGTCGCACGTGTAAATCAAGACCCATTATTTATTTACTGTATTTTTTAATAGTATTTCTATTGTATTTAACTGTAACATAAGAAACTGGCACTGAATTTGTTTTATCCATTAACTAGTGTTGTGCTCGTGTGCTGCACGGTGGAGTTCGATCTTAATCTTTCAAATATGTCATTAATGTTAATTTCGTAGAAAATTCTTTTATATTTGTATGAATAATAATACAGTAAAAATACCGTTTATTTTCTTTTAAAATAATCTTTCTGTGATAAAAATGCTAGTGTTGTGTAAAACATAATATGAAAAAAAGAATCACACGTGTTGTGATCTTATACAAAAGAGGAAGAAAAAAAAAACAATGGTATTAAAAACTATCACCGCAACTTCATAAATTCTCAAGAGTTTC